CTCGACATACTGTTCCAACTGAGACCCATGCTCCGGCAGCACAAGGGTTGTCCGGCTGTGAGCAGGTAGGGCATAATACATCCTCTGTAAAGTCTGTAAATGCTACCTCACATAGATTTAGCTCAGTGTTTGCAGGCCAGCTCTGCCATGCCCAAATGGGGGCAGAAGAATGCCTAAAAGATGCTGCAGCATTGAATTATTGAAGCCACCCTGTTACCAAAAACCCAAACCAAGGGGGTAAGGGGAGAAGAAACATACATTGCTAATGTACAAAAATGAAGAAGAAAATGAAGCACCTGCTGATGGAGGCAGAAAATCTGATGACCTGAGCTGAAGGGTGGGGACTTAGTTCTGGAGCATCCACCATCATTGGAACAACTCCAAATTCCATAGATGGGGGCATTAACCTGTCAGTAATGAATAAGAAAAAACTACGCAACAGAAGTTGTCTGCGACATTAAAGTACATTTCTGAAACTGCTGTACATGGTTAAAAACTAGAATAAAGTTTTTGCCAAAAAATACTGCATTTTAGTTTTCTTCCTGTTTTACATTTGCTAGAAACATAAAATACTTATTTAGCACTGCTAAATCGGTATGAGCACACATATAACTGGGGCAGACAGTAAAATAAATCCCCCCCCCCCAAAGAATAAATTTGGGGGGTTTCAACAGCTTTCCAACAGTCTAATGGATATAACTGACCTCTTTCAAAGTTACAATAGGTGATCAAATTGTAGTCTGACACCAATTTCTTCTAGTAAATGCTATTTTAAGAACTTATTTTTTAAACATACAAAAGCAAAAACAAAGGAATGCAACAAGCATGCAATGATACAATCATCATCAACATCAGGACAAAGGAATGTCTATTCTAGATAGGTTTTTATACTATACTCCTCTGAGAGCATTCCAGTAACGCATTAAGCAAGACAGCTGTCACCTGTCGGATCTCATCCTCTCACCAGAAGCAGCATATGTAGTGAAGCATCTTGTTTTGGTTAGCAAAATTGTATTAAAGTTAAAAAAAAAAAACTGTTTATATTCGAGAAGGCAAGGTAAAAAAAAGTGCCTTGTACTTGGAGGGTAAAGTGGTAAGGTTTGTGGGGGCCTTAGCTCTTGGGAGAATTCATTCTCGTTTCAGATCACCCTCCGAGAAAGTTTGGTCTCCCACACAGACGAGCTTTACCCTTATTGTTGCGTTCCATTGTGTCAGAGGAGTGAAGCTGCTGACCGTGGTCTTTTTACCAGAGCTTAAGATGAACGTTTAAGTATCTTGGGCCCAGGCCATGGGGTGTATTGAAGATAAGGACTGAGACCTTCAACTTGATTCAAAATTCTGTGGGAAGCCACTGTAGAGAGCAGAGTATGGGTGTGATCTGCAGTATGCTTCCTCAGCAGCACAGGCACTGTATATATTAGTTGGAGCTTCCTAAATACTGAAGGTTTTATGCCCAGGTATACTACATTGCTGTAGTCCAGCTGAGAGGTGACAAAGACATGAATAACTGAGGCCAGGTCGTTGCCCAACAGGATGTGGCAATCTTCTAGCCAACCAGAGATGTTATTCATGAGTGTTACTCATGGCTGTTGCTATGTGAGAGCTCAGTGTCAGCAAGGAATCCAAGAGTAATCCTAGACCATGGACTGAATTGACTAACTATGGATGTGAACTTCAATCAAAAGAGAATGCCCCATGGCTGAAAACTCTGCCCACCAGCACCATCTCGGTTTTGCTTAGGTTTAGCTTCATCCAGCTGCTGTTCATACATGAGCTGAACTCATCCAAACACTAGGCCCTCTTGGTGGCAGTGATTTGGGCATATGTGGTGAAGGATAAGATGAGCTGTGAGTAATATCTGCATATTACTGGCACTTGATTCCGTGTTGTCTGACCAGTTCACCTAGTGCAGGGGTGGCCAACCTGAGCCTGAGAAGGAGCCAGAATTTACCAATGTACATTGCCAAAGAGCCACAGTAATACATCAGCAGCCCCCCATCCGCTCCCCAGCACCTCCCGCCTGCTGGCAGCCCCTGCTAATCAGAACCTACTCCCCCTGCCCACTGCAATCAGCTGTTTCATGTGCACAGGAGGCTATGGGGGGGAAGGAGGAGAAGTGAGGGTATGGCAGGCTCAGGGGAAGGGGCCTTGGGACAGAGCAGGGGGGTGAGCAGTGAGCACCCCCCAGCACATTGGAAAGTTAGCATCTATAGCTCCAGCCCCAGAATCAGTGCCTAGGTAAGGAGCCGCATATTAACTTCTGAAGAGCCACAGGTTGGCCACCCCTGACCTAGTGGTTGCATGCAGATGTTGAAAAGGACTGGAGAGAAAACTGTCCTTGTAGAACTCTACAAGTGAGGGGTTTAGTGGTGAAGATGCAGTTTCCCATCACTACTTGTTGGGTGAATTCCTCCAGGAAATACTCAAACCATTTTAGTGCATTACTCTGGACCCCACCATCTCTCTCTCAGGCGATACAGCAGTATAACATGGTCATGTGTTCAATGCGGAAGAGAAGTACAGGAGGAAGAGAATGGATGTCTGTTCTCTATCCACTGACTAATCATCCATTAGTTCCACTAAAGCAGTTTCAGTTCCACGTCCTGGCCTAAATCCAGACTATTCCAGGTACAGAATGTTAGCTTCAGTTAGATGAGCTTGTCGTTGGCTTTTTGTTAGTTTCTCTGTGAGCTTGCTCAGGAATAGGAGGTTTGATACTGGGAATAGTTGGCTAGGTCTAAGTATCCATGGTGGGGTTCTTCAGCGTTGGTCAGACTATTGCATGTTTGAAAGAGGAAGGGAAGAGTCCTTCTCTGAAAGATGCATTGGCTATTTTAGTCATAAGTGGCACCCAGTTATTCATGACTCTCCTTCAAGAGCAGGGAAGGGCATGGGGTAGATTCGCAAGTCTTGGGTCAGGACTCTTTTAGGGCACCCAGAACGTCTTCATGAGTGAATGTACTATACTCTGGAAATGCAGGGGAGGCTGTTGGTTGGTGGTTTCAGGCAGAGAGAATCCATGCTGTTTGAGAAGACTACATGCATACACATGACCATTTCAGTAAAGTTGGTCAATAGTTATTTGCAGTGCTTAGTAACTCAGCTCTGATACAGGTTATAGGCATTCAGGATTGATGAAGCAGTTTACTACCCTGGATAACTCCTTGGGGCAGGATTTGGGCAGCTTCAATGGCGGTTCAGTAAGATGATTCTCTTGGGAGCAGAATATAGCCTGGTGCTAGGGACGTGCCTTTTGTTGCCTGAGAAAATCTGCCCAAGTTTGATGAAGTTATAAGTCACCTGTACACTGAATGAGGCAGGGGGTCCTGTGGGGAGGCATGCTCATGGAAATTGGAGACAAGCATAATGCACACACACACACACACACACACACACACACACGGGCAAAATTAAAGTTGAACGTGCAACCTTAATTCTGGCTTTTCTTAACCTTTGAGTGCTTGACTTTTCAACCTAACATTCCTTTAATATAGCGTTTGTATAGTTGTATTGAAGCTCAAGACTACATGTATGATACATGAAAGCGGGGGGGAGGGAAGTAGCTCCCTTTGAGTCTGCTTGCTTTACCTGTAAAGGGTTAACAAGCCCACAGGAAAAAGAAAAGGAGTGGGCACCTGACCAAGAGAGCCAATGGGAAGGTAGAACTTTTTAAAATTGGGAAAAACTCTGTCTGTTCTCTGGGCTGCAGGGACAGAGCAGCAATGCTATAAGCAGGAATGCTGTGTAAGGTTTGAACCAGGTATGAAAAATTATCTTCCATACCTAGAAGTAATTATTTGGATAGGGAACATTTAGATAAGCACGATCAGGTTTATTCTTTATTTTGGCTTGTGGATCTCCCCAGATCCTTTTTTTTGCTTGTAACCTTTAAGCTGAACCCCCAAGAAAGCTATTTTGGGTGCTTAATTTTTGGAATTGCTCTTTTAAAATCTAGTAACAGCCTAAGTTCCAGATGTATTTATTTTCTTTGTTTTAAATCAAATTTACCTTTTTCCAAGAAGGAATTGGATTTTTGGTGTCCTAAGAGGTTTGTGCATATGCGGTTTAATTAGCTGGTGGTAACAGCTAATTTCCTTTGTTTTCTTTCTCAGCTCTTCCTTGGGGGAGAAGGGGGAAGAAGCGGGGGGGTGAAAGGGCTTGAAGGTACCCCACAGGGAGGAATTCCCAAGTGCTCCTTGCTGGGTCCAAGAGGGTTTTTGCATTTGGGTGGTGGCAGTGTTTACCAAGCCAAGATCAGAGAAAAGCTGTAACCTTGGGAGTTTAATACAAGCCTGGAATGACAAGTATTAATTTTTAGAATCCTTGCAGGCCCCGCACTTTCTTCACTAGAAGTGAGTGGTGATTCAGCCTTGACAACATTTTAAATTTTTCTCCAGAAAGCAGTATTAATGTAGTACAACTTCCAGCATCAACACTGAAAGACTATATAAGAAAAGTAAACTTTGTAAGATATCCCTTATTCAAAAGCTAGTAATTTATCTATGAGCTGTATCATACTACTAAATTATCTAGTAAGTCCTCAGGTTGGTTTTGGGTTCGGTGAGGTAAGTAAGTAAAAACAAGTAAAATAATATATTCATAGTTTATGCAATGAGGGCCTTTTCTCTGTGTGAATATTTAAGAGCAAAAATAAAGGGAAACCCAGGTTAAATTAGTTGATGGACTTTAAAAGTAAAGTAACTTCACATAACTTAAAACAAATTAAGTTCAATTCTGCACCGGCTTTCTCAGTTTTCAAAACCAGAATATCAACCTGGGCTACTAAGATAAGTAGACACAAAGCTGAGGATTATATAAATGCTTCAGTGGTCAGTTTTTTGACATATGGGACTGAAACATGCCCTATACTGTTAAGACTGAAAAGAAGTTGGACACCAGTCACATGAAGCATCTCCAAATGATTGAAAACATCAAATGGTAAAAATTCAAGTAGAATGAATAGATCCATTTTCTAACTAAACAGATCCTTCTTTCCAAAGTGATGTAGTCAGCTGCTCTGAATGCCTACCAACTTCCCTGCAAAAGTCATCTTTGACATTGACCCAGTGAAAGCAAGATGAAAAAACCGAGACCTAAAACATGATGGCTGAATGACAGACACCTGTTCCTCACAGGCATCCCACTCTAATGTGCCAGATTTGGTTCAGGACAAATCTTCATGGAAGCACATAACACGATGGGTATCCTTTATGCTGTCCATGCAACAGCACTGAACTAACTCCTTCCAAGTCTTCATCCTCTAACGTAATGGCTTTTAGCTGCTTGAGTAATCAGTGGCTTTGAGGTAGCACAAACATAGCTTATCTTCAAATATGACTGGCACTTTTACTGGCTAACGAATGGTGGACTCCATGTTCTACATTAGTGGAGAACTGTCAATTATCTTTCTTCCTGCCTCTCCCCGATTGTGTGGGGAATATGGCCCAGGAAAAACAAGATTTTCCTCCCTTCAGATAAGACCTGTTTTCTCACAACTCAAAACCCTTTTATGGAGACTAACTTCAAACAGAATTATAATTCAAGTCTCATTGTTATTTCCTGAAATCTCTTTGTTTGTAGGTATTCAGCGCCACTGCATGCCCTGTGTCTTATTTGTGACTGATATCCATTTCTGGAATTGAGTTTGACTCAGCCCAAATGTACCAAAGGTGTTGATGGAAGATGCCTCCAACAGGCCTCTGCCCAAAAGAAAATATATACTTCAGTAACCGTAAAGCACATATATAAATTTCCCTTCTGTAGTTAAAAGAAGAGACTTTGAAAGAAGCTGGCTATAGCAAAATTTTAGGCAGCTCTAGGAAATTCTATTCATTCTTCCACTATTCCTGATTAGATGTAGGACCCTTCTCTTATATCACCTTTTGGAACATAGTCCCAAATGCTACAATATTGTATCTTAATTTTTTTCTATCCCTTTATGGTTCCTGTTTAGAACCTAAATCTGGATTACTGGCGTTACATTACAAGCTATTTCTACAATTAGGAACTTTTTTCCATTTATGGAAGATCAGGATTCCAAATTCCACTTACATTTAAACTAGTGGTAGGTAAATCTGTTTTAACTCCTCTTGGAAGCATGATTAAGTGCACATACATAAACAGATGCATTCTATTTAACATTGTAATGGGTGGTTTGTGAACACAACTGAAGGAAAAAAGGGTAGATTCTGCTATCTATAAGAAAGTTAGCAGCCATAGGAGAACCTGCAATCATACCAAGGGTGTTATTTTAAGGGCTGATGTACACAGCAAATGCACGTCATTCTAAAGCAACTTTTATTTCTTAAACATACTGTATTTTATAGAACAGAAACATTTAAGATGAAGGTTCAGTTCAGCTGATAATAAAATTAGACCAGAGTTCATACAAGTTTTCTGTAGCTTAGAACCCAATTTTGGGGGGGAACTGAGCCTATAAGGGTCATTTCTAAACAGTATTATAAAAGCCACTCCACCATCTAAATGAAGAAGATTACATTTTCATTTATGACTTCCCCTTTATGAATATTCAACATTTCCAGTTCTCTTTAACAACTGCTATACTTACTTGGGGCAGTATATTGTTAGATGCATTGGGCTAGCTACTGTACACAGTTTGCAGAGTATTCAGACTGCCAAGCGAACTGAGTGATATTAACTTCAAAAGATTTTCTCTCTCCTCTTAAGTATTGGCTGAAGAATGGAGTAGATTAAACAACTGTAATCTACAAGACTCCAATACCCTTCAAAGGGTTTCTAGTGACATAACCATGGAACCTAATCCCAAGTGCATTTTTTGCCAAAAATGGCATTTTAGTTTTCCTCCCATTATATATTTATTAGAAACATAGAAATTCTCTCTCCAAACCATTATCTTTTTTCTATTGTTGCCACCAAGGAGGCTTCAAACAAGAGCTGTTGTAATTCCTTACTGTCAAACAGTTATTACTTTTAGTATATTTATAAAACTATCCTTATATTACAGGAAAATTAGGATAAATACTGGTGCCTATTGCAGTGAAATGTGAGAGGTTGTGACTTCAGTAGTTCTGCCTATGTTTGGTAATGGAAGATCAAGTCATTCATTTGCCTTCTGCTCTGCTATTACAGGAACTTTAAGCCTACAGATAATTAAATGCCTAATAAGTTGTTTTTAGGCCTCAAACAAGAGGCAACTATTGCCACTGCACTATTATAATCAAGGAAACTAGACAAATTCCGTAGCACACTTCTCAGTTTGGAGTAGTTTGGGGGCACCTTTATTTAAATTCAAAACTGCAGATTACTGGACTAGATGTGAAAATGAATACAGTACTGTAAAGCCAGTACAGCAATCCCATAGATGAGATGATGTATCCTTGTGTTGATGGATGCCTTAACTCAGGGGTCCCCAATGCGGTGCCCACAGGCACCATGGCACCCGCCGGGGCATCTAAATGTGCCCGCGTACTGGCCGGCGGACAAGCAGCCACCGAAATGCTACCGACAAGCAGCAGCATCCAGAGGCGTAGCTGCCGAAATGCCACCGATTTTGGACGGCATTTTGTCGGCAACGCCTATTGACGTTGCCACTTGTCGGCGGCATTTCGGCGGATGCTCGTCCACAGCAACGGGCCTCCGTGGCTCATCGTCTGGCGCCTGCCAGACAAAAAAGGTTGGGGACCACTGCCTTAACTTGTGGTCCTGTTGCAAGCACTCCTATAAGCCATTGCACAGACTATTCCTGGGGCATAGGTTTGCCCCAGCTAGATTCTTCCACTTCTGATCTGCCCCCATGGCTCCTGTCTCTGATCTGCCTTCACAGTGCCTTCTCTGGCCCACGTACAGCCTGCCCCCGTTACTGGCAGGGACCTCTACTGCACTAGTAGTGCTGTCCAGGGGGGTATTATACCACTTCACACTTTAAAAGGTCCATAGGACAGTGATGAATTAGGCCACACATTTAAACAGGTTAAATTTTATGCTGCCATTTTCAGTTTATAACATGCTGCAGACCTTGCAGTATACCATATAAGCAGTTGAAGAGGGGGAAGCTGGAAATTTGAGCAACTGGATTAGGTTAGTGATAGTTTCTGACCTGAAAGCAATTTTGGATGACACTAGTTGGATGTTTTTGCTATAATATTCAGTAATGTTGATATTTAACTTTTAAACTTAACATTTTATCAGCCCATGGAGATGAGGCAGTTCATGTGTCTGTGTAGCATCTAACAACACTGGTGACCCCAACTGCTGATCTGGTGAGTAAGCAAAACTGCCGTAGTAAGAATCGCTATCTAACATGGCAGTAAACCTCGAGCTAGGAAACCCCCTTATTCCCTCCCTTATGATCCCCACGGAGTTTGATAACTCTTGGACCCGCTGGATTGCCAGTAAGGGGGGTCCATATGAATTTAAAAAAGAGAGTGGGGAAACATGGACTGGCTTATGTAGAGCGATGGTAGAAACCAAGGCTCTGAGAAACAGTAATAAGAGTAAAAAAAGCAAGAATTTTGCAACTCATGTCTCTGGCAGTGAGATGGCTCAGACAGCATGCTGGAATGCTGGCCAAACAAGTAACAGAAAAAACAAGAGAAGTAGAAGAGGTAACCCGGGCAGTCGAGCACTGGAAAGCCCAAGCTCTGTTAGCAGGGCAACAGGCGGTCCAAACTCATGATATGCTCGAGCAAGTGAAGCAGGAAAATAAAAAATTGAAAACAGCTGTAGAAAACCTGCAGAAGCAAAAAGCACCGTCCCCTGGGGTTCAGTGTTCTTCAAGTGCTTTTACGGTGCCTGAGGAATGGGGACAGAAATGGAAACAGGTGGTCCTAGTAAAATTAAAAGATGAAACGGGGTCCACTGCATTGCAACCACCACCTTATGATAAATGCCAGGTTCCAGTTAAACTGAGACCTAGACTGGTGCCTGTCAGAACGGGACAAGTAAGTGCACAGAAAGAAAGAGTAGCACATAATACTTTCAAAGAATTGGTAAATCAGATGAAGGAAAATATAGAACAGTTCACAGAGCACATTAGGAGACAGGAGCTGCGACTTGATTGCAGGGGAGTGAATAAAAAAGCATTTCAAAGTAAAAAACCAAAATTAAGTGGGTTAACACCTAGAATTGATGCATTAACATATGGAGTTGCCCAAAACCAGTTCACTGCAGCAAAAAAAAAAGGGCACTCCCGCCATCCATCTGGCATGCACACAAAAGCAACAGACATTGGAGGAACAAATTCAGGTTTTACAAGAGCAGGTAACTACCCCCATTCTCCACTCAAAGCCAGGATAAAAAACAGGGGCGCGGTTCTTAACTGTGCAGGTTCCCAACTGCTTTGACCCACGGAACCACACTCCGTGCTCATATCTGAAAATAGAACCTTCTTTCTCAAATATTTTTACATACCGGTTAAGTTTTGTCCTTTATATGCTTTCTTAGTTTGCTAAATTTGCTGCTGCTGCCTGTACCTTCAAATATCTTGATAGAGTTAATCTCTCTTGGCTCAGGTCTCGCTACCTTCCTAGGTTGCTGTTCACCCCCTCCTTTCCCCCAGCCTCTCCTCAATTTTGCTCTCTCTCTTTGTTTTAAAAGAGAAAAGTTATAGTTTTTACAGAAACCTCCAAAAAATACAGCAATTGAAAACAGAATGAAACAACAAACAAAGAAAATAAGGTAAAAACTTTACTTTAAATAAATCCAGTAAATTAAGTATTTTAACCCTTCAGGAATGCAACAGTTGGAATTATTCCTAACTTTCTTGAAGATATGGTTGCCAAGCAACAGAAATGCACACTCTGCTTCTAATCCTAACCACTCACTAATATTTGAAATATGGACTTTTCTTATTTCCATATAGCAGAATTTTAAAATAATGTTAAATAGAAAATAATGCAAAATTCCTTGTTACCAAATTAATACAATACATTTGGCAAATAATTTTTAACAATTTATGTAACAAGTTTTAAATAAAGTAATAATTTGTTTATTCAAATATAACTATTTTTTATTTTTGTTTGCCTTATTTTGTATAGTTATGAATAGAATTCTGGCACCATTTGTTGTTAATTGTAAATCTGTCCTGTATGTCGTGTGTGTTGTCTTGTGTTGTAGGTTGTGTGGGTCACGTGACTATTTTTTATTATTTTTATTTTGTTGCAACAAAAGTCAATTTTATACCCTTTTAAAAATTTATGTATATGTGGTACCACACTATTTTAAGATCATGGTTGGGGTATAATCATAGTATTATTAGCACCAATATTTTGTGCAAAGTTCAAAAAGGTTTCAGTTACAAATATATGTACATATATTTCCATATATTTCTGCCTCAACAAATAATGCAATTGCAAACAAAAAATATTCTCTGATCAATCTCAGTTTTGTTGTGATTTTTAAGATTTTTTTTTTTATTTGTTATTCAAAGAAAAAATGTAAGGGGAAACCTTCAACATTAAGGTAAAAATAATAAATGTTAATTTTGGGGGGGGGGGCTTTTTATAAACTTGTTTGCACTTTTAAATATAGTTATAAGAATATCATAACCAAAATGTTTTAAAATAACAATTTATGCATAAAGCTAACCAAACAATTTGAACAGGTTTCCACCTTTGGCTCCCAAACATAACAAAGCATCATGAAAGTATACCCTCAAATACCCTCAAAGTACTGTATTTAAAATTTATTTTGGTTTAATTTTATAGTTAGTTTAATTTTTTATGCTTTTCTTATGTTATGTTATGTTAATGGGAAGCAGTGGTTGTTAAAGTTGTGCTTCTAAACAGTTAACAAGAGTGAAATTAGTATCACAAGCATATTAACTCTAAAAAGCTTAGTAAAAATTCTGTTAACTCCTTTGCTGAAACAAATTGTTCAGCAAGGGAAAGCAATACACCTTCTCATGGAAGATTGTGAGCATTTATTTTAGCCGTTAAGCATTACATTTCGTATAAAAATATTAGTAATGCACTTCAAATGAAAATGAGTGTCTATACAACAATTGCAAAAGTATAGCTTGTGTTATAAAAGGCTTGGTCCCTATTACATTGTTCTTATTACATTGTAAACAAACTAAGTTAAACTGTGTATTAAGTTTGAGTTACTGAAAACAAAAACAAACAAAAATCCTTTATTATGTTAACAAACTAGCTGTTTAAGTTGCATCCCACAGACCGAAGACACCAGAAAATATCACACCCTGAAGAGACCAGATGATATCAGTATACAGTGAAGAAACCCCCAAGCATCAAGAACAGAAAAATGAAGTGCTTTATAAATAAGAGATTGGTCAAATACACCTCTACCTACCATATATGGACAATTAAGTTAACAATCAGCTAAAAAACACTAGCTGGACCAGGATAAGCCATCATTTAATTTCAACTTAGTTATTATGTAAAAACAACTGTATTATTGCTGTACTACTGTATTATTGTTGTACTGTTGTCTTATTGCTGTATTGTATTATTGCTGTACAACATTTACAATGTGCATAACCTTGCTAAACTGTTTAACCAACACATAGGTAAAAATTAACAAACAAATGGCAGCAAACAACCTGAAGGCGAAAAAAAAAAAGTAATAAACAAACAAAAAGTTACATAGTAACTACAAATTGAGTAAACACATTGCCTGTTAGTACCAGTGATAATTTGGGTCAGTGACACTGCATCCTAACTAAGGCACATGTTATTCAAAACAATCTTGTCCAGTGTCTAGGTAACAATACTACATCCTGACACAGCACTATTTAATAAATTGGTTACTGTCCATTCAGTAGGTTATCTGGAAGACAGCATCCATGAAAAACAACTAGATCTATGTCAACTACTGGTGTATCGCAGAGCCGTGCAACCAATGGAACAGAGAAGCTAGCCACTTCTATTTCCTGCCCAGTAAAGCTAACCAGAGGGTGTTAACTAGCAGTAAGGATAACCTATAACATGAATGGACAGTACTGTGTAGTAACTAATTACAATATATTTTTATATAAAGGCCTCAGTGGTAGTGTCACTACTCCAAATTTCTGTTTTTTCTTCTCATATACATAGCACTGTGGGACACACCATCACAATCCCTATCCAATATTTCAAAACACTCAGCCTACTACTAATGATGAGACAAGTGATAACTGAAATTGCCCTAATAGGAGTGAGTTTCTATCTGTGTTACCAAAGTAAAAAGACCAAAGTACAACATCGGACTAGAAAAACATGGTTATGCTTAGATATAAAGTAGTGTCATATGTACACATACATACTATACATATATGCCCATACACACTACAAATATATATGCCATATCCATATAATTCATATATATATATTAATTATTTGAGAGTGCCTCTAAGGCTCAATCATAATACTACATTCCTCAGTCATGGTCCCGGGCCTAACATTCCCAGGCCCACCATAAGGGACTAAAAAATAATTGGATAATAAAATCTGTCTGCCAGTCGTACGAGGGAATGTGCAGACTAAACAAACAAATGGGGCATAAGTGTATAGGTGGTTACTTTATTTTACCATCTAACAGTGTTTAGCCCACTGGGTTATCTTTAGTTTATGCACTATGCTTTTCCGGGACGATGAGTAAACATCCTCCCCTTAAAAAGACAAAAAGTGGGGGAATAAAGTAAGTGAAGGCCCTAATGAAGGCCCAGTATGAGGCCTGAACCAAACTAAAGTAATGGTCAAAACTTTGCTAACATAAATCAGAGTTAAGCTGTGAGCCAGAGGCAGGCCCTGCTCACAGAAGCTGGCAAGGAAAGGGCTGATGCTGCAAAAAGAGACATACCTAAAAGGTACTGGACACCAGCTATCAGAACATACACTATACTGGAACATTCCACAGATAACATGGAACAGGCCGACCCATCCCAATGACAGGGGCAAAAGGGTAAAATGATGGATAGAGCTGTTTTGATCGAACCAACATGTACAAGGTGCGAGGCGGCACCTTATTACGTGAAGGGGTTGCACCTTAATAGGTCAGGAGTGATGTGTAACTTGTTTGTACCTGTGTATAAAAATGTATCCCTGGGGTGGTGTCTTTGTCCGGCCACGGGAGCAGTGGAAAGTCCCGCCACTGAGCCGGGTCCTTGCCAAGCGGCATCTATTAGTAGTATGCCCGGTAGACTAAGTAATCTACGGGGAACTGCAATTGTGTCCGAGGTCGCAATAAACCTGGCCGAGGTGCCTTTGTACCTTACTAGACTCTGTGGTTATTGGGGGTTCTCGTCGGGTTTGCTGTGTCAGCTATCTGCCCAGAGCTGGGGCAGCACACAGAGGGAACACACGCACGCAGCCGAGTGATATCAACAGGAGAAAGCAGAAGCACCACACCAGTAGCATCTAACAACAGTCTACACAGCAGGACAATGCACCCTCGAGTGTGAATTCTAAAACTCATCAACATGTTGCACACTAACTGGCCCTTGCAGTCCCGTTTCAAACAACACTATGTTAACAGGCACTAAGAACTTTTAACACATGCCAGCAAGATCTACATGAGCTAGTTAACGTGCAACATGTTGATGTGCTTGAGAATTCACACCCCTTGAGTGCACATTACCACATTGTTTAGACAAGCCCTCAGAAATAATTTCAAACTGTATGAAGACTCTGCATTGGTTTACACTCAGTTCTCATTTTTAGGATTTTGTTATAACAGTGAAGGCTAGCTGCCTTTTTTTTTTTAAAGATGAAATTTAGAACAATTCTGCAGCAACACTGCACAATACTTGAGATCTTCAATATAAGTCAGGAGCTTTAGGAAAGGAGAGCTTAGAAACATACCATCCACTGACCAAAACTATTACTTTCTGTTTAAGTGTAATCAAGTCTGAGGTTCCGTACAAAATATGGTGCCTGGTAAGCTTATCACTACAGGGAGAGAGACAATGTCTTCACATCTGTTAACCTGGTACTCTGCTCTTTGGAAGAACCAAATTAAATTAAGGATAAGCAACAATACATCTTTCCCTCAGACCTAGTCTTTTAGAAAGCTAGCCTTTTCTTCAATTAAAAAGGTATATCACCACATGCTATTTTATGGATATGTCTGTATAATCAGCATTACTTCACTTATATGGCTACTGAGTCTGAGATTTGGCTTCTAGAGTCAGTAAGCTTTCATCCCTGGGCTTCCAAACAAATTGTATTCATGTCATCAGAGCGCCTGTCTGGACTTGGATAGCTTCATGCAGAAAGATGGGCACAAAATCTGGATAACAAAGTCATAGGGGTTTTTTTGTTGGTTTCTTTTTAAATATAGTAAGCTGTAAATCCACCAATGACCACCTAAATTCCCCACCCCTCCATCCCCAATCCTTAGCTTTTCCTTTCCCGTCAGGAAAGTGCTGGAAAACAGATACCAGACTTAGGCCTGGTCTACACTATGAGTTTAGGTCAAATTTAGCAGCTTTAATTCGAATTAACCCTGCACCCGTCCACACAACGAAGCCATTTACTTCGACATAAAGGGCTCTTAAAATCGATTTCTGTACTTCTCCGCAACGAGGGGAGTAGCGCCAAAATCTACATTGCCGGT